TGACTTCCTTATCATTTAGCAACGGTTCTACTTTCCGCCTGGTGTATTATTTTATTGTTTTCTGGTTACTTTTTGTCACTAAGACGCTAAACCTGCCGGTATCTGGAAATTTCTGAAGCATTTTTTATTTTATATTCTTTCGTCTTTAAGTGGAACCTCTGAGTCCGTTTTTGCAGATGGGGTTTTCCATTATTTTTATATTATCTCCTGGACTTTAATTTTTATTAGCATTAATCATCCAATTACCTCCAATAGATTCTGCACATCAAATATGTATGAGATATCTAATCTAACTATGGCCCATGTTGATTTTTCAAATTAAGTTTTAATCACAGCAATCATAAGATATCAATAGGATCGATTCTCATGATGGATGGCAAGATTTTCGTTTTACTTTAAAGATCAAGGAAGAATAGAGATAAATAAACAATGGTAACAACTGGCATAAGATATGGGAGACAAATTCAAAACAAAGGGAAAGATATTGATGTTACCGAACAATAGTATACAATTTTAAAAGATTGTCGTCAATATCGGCAATTCTATGCCGCCACTAATCAATATCTCGATAAAAGATTTCCACTATCAGAGTGAATCTCTGCAATAGTTTACCCTTTGACATCAATATTTATATTGGATAAATTTAATGATAATTTAAGATTCTCAACGCTATTTCTAAGCTTCTTTCGTACTTGCACTATAACTAGAAAGGCAGATGATAATATATATGTTTAGTAGTGATAGTATGATAAAATATATTATTTTCTTCTTGCAATCATGATCAAGTTAAGCTCACCATTCCATTTTTTAGCCAGTAGTCATAATGCTATCTAATTAGTTAATATCTTTCAAATAGAATAGTGGATATAACTGAAGGATAGCTGATTATTCTTTGTCGGATTTTTTTCCTTTATTGGTCGAGAATACACTTCTATAAAAGTTTAACTATAGACTTCGGAATAACTTGTCTACAAATAATCATACTACGAAAACATAGTGAAAAACATTGTCAGTAACTATGATAATAATTGGATTGTCCATGCAAAGTAATTGATCATCTTGGATTGTATAGTTTAGACAACAACTCTTATTTGCCATCTCAATAGAATACAGTAGTCTTAGTAGAGTGAAGTTAGGAATAAATGTCCCCTTATAATGAATGGCATGTCATCAAGAACATGACTATCTTTAAATGACCTTGTAATATTATTTAAATGATCATCTGATGTATCTAATATTTCTTCGTGATCAGTTACTTTAGTGTCGTCGATAATATATCAATATTGATACTAGTAACACATAGTATTTACAATGTTGGTCAAATAGAAATTAGAATTTTAATCAATATCTTGCTGCGGTTGAATCAATAGCCATTTAAATTTATTAATTAAATGGTCATGGAAGTCAGTGCGCCGACCGCTAGACCCCATACTTTATCTATTGTAGCATGAAAGCCGTCCCTCTTATTTATTCCCTTTCTCTTTTTCAAACAAATTGAAGTTATTGTTAAGGATAATAAAGAAAAGGATAATTGAACGAAATTATCATAATCATCCATTTCGTCTTCTCAATTTGTTGTTGGTTGACGTACTGGAAAATAATCGCAATGTTTGAACAATACATCATGTTATAATAAGTGTTTGCTTAACTCACAAACGATGACTTTTTACACATGTATTTTTCGTCTTCATATATGAATATAGCGCTTATTCAGTGACAACAACTCTTGCTACAAGTAACTTATTTCAAGTAATAACAGTTATTCTTGCATTTGACACTTTTACTCTTCAATTTTAAAATTCGTTACTATCATGTTTCGATGGATCAAATTGGAATGATTGAAGATACTAAATTGATCATTTTAAATATTACTTGTCTAATTAACTAAGACATTACTTTTATTATCCTTCTATTTTCTATTTAATAGACAACGATGTTGAATTGACAAGTTTTGGTATTTGATTAATTAATTCGTTATAGCTGAAAGAATAAAGCAATCAATAGTTTAAGATTGACTTTAGTTGATGAATAACGATTAAATTAATAGAGTCAATTTAGGTAAGCTGGATTAAAATCAAGGCTGTATGCGGTTTCGTACTTAATTCACATCAAATAAAGGCTGAAATTTAATAACGTAATAATTCAATTTAGATAGTATGAAGCTAAAGTTGCATTTTTGACTACGACGTCGTAATGGCTTATTTATTCTTGAAAGTAAACAAAAAATAATTGAGAATTAATTTTTTAAGCGAAGATTTTTCACCTTGTCTAGTTTCGCATCAATACTTTTAACGCAATAACAATTCATATTTTAGCTAAGCATGAAAATCACCGTCAGGGACTCAGGATAATTGACTTTTATCTGTCATATCTATTAACCTAATCAGAATATGTGTAATTTGTCTTTTCTTTTGGCTAGGCAATACGATAATAAATAAATGAAAGTGCATTGATTAATTTTATAGTAGCATTTGGTTCTGATATGCCAGATTTAGATGACGATATGGTAGCTAAACAACGAAAATGCATAGAAATATCAGGCAATTAGAAAGGATATGAATTAAAAAACTCAACTAAAAGAATTCGTCATGCTAGTACGGTGCTAAAGGGGTTCAAATTGTTGGAAAAGCAAGAAAAGAAAATTTAATTAGAGGCAATGTAGAAATGCCAGTTGGATAGAAAGATATTGATCTCATTACGGACAATGGTTTAGCATCCATTGTTTATCATCGATGAAGAAATGATAAATATAATAAACGATTTCCTTCATTATAATCATGCAATGACATCAAGCCCAAACGTAACAGAAACAGTAAATAGCAGACAGGTTAAAAGAAAAGACAATAGCTATCAATCAAATGGAGGATATAGAATGAAGATACAAAGAAGGGAAGTTATTTAGTCAATTTTGTCGAATAGCAGGTGTTGTGAAGTTGAAATCATTACTAGATGACAATTGAATAAAAATATGGTTATTCTATTTAGATTTCTTTGGCTTATTTCCTCTTCTAGAATTGCATCTCTACCTCCTTTTCTCTTGTATGTACTTACAGACATTTATAGACACCGTACGCACCTAAATTGTGATACAAGATTCCCTGCTCGTCCTTTTCCGCCTCCCTCGCTATAGCAAACAAAATTAATGTATGGAAATCAATAACGAAACAGTTGGTTCGTGCACTGAGTTCAATATTTCAATACAAAAGAAACAATCAAGACTGACCTATGAAGAATAGAAACAATTTGACATGGTTACCCTTCTTTAAATGATTGAAATTCAATAATATATTTACAGGATTAGTTTGTGTATATAATGGAGTGGATATTGTTGTCACTTCATATTTTTTAATCCCATTTGCAAATAGTTCAAGCATCAGTTGTTGCACGAGCTATTTTATTACTTGGTCTTTCTTCTCCATTACTTGCTAACGTTATTAAACTACTGTCTTCCATCTTCACTCTGTCGACCATTACTTTGTCTACCTGTCTGTGATAGTGTTATCTACTATTCTGTTTCTCTTTTGCATCTCCTACTTTTGATAAAACAGTCGTTTTTCTTTCACTTCGGCACACTATTACTAGGACCATCGACTGTTCAAGGTATCCTCATTTTTCATGCCATTTCTCTATTTCTTATGTCTTATCTGTTATTGCTTATTATTTTCAAATTGCTTTCTTTTCTTCATTTAATGCAAATATACAGTAAGTGGAATCATTTTTCTAGAGTTAATGATTCCCCATTTTATCGTTTTCAATTCAATTTCTATTTTAACGACTTTCGAGACTCTGTTTCCAACTAACTCCTTTTTTTTAAACTAAATTATTATTACATCAAACTAATTAATGTTTTCTTTCCAATTAATAGTCATCCAATTCTACCAATCCATTATTCAACACCTTTAACGATCTAGCATTCATCGGCGATACTACCGGGCAACGGCAAAAAAATTTTAACAGTCAAATTCCCAATCCGCCTAAAAAGAATATTGAATAACGTGTTAGGTAAATAATTCAACAGTTCACTATAATATAACTCATTCAATTCTCTCTATCACGATAAATTTGCTTATTTTTTTCATTAACTAATCAATCAATGAATCAGCCAGATTATACCAAAGTAATCAAAATATTGCCACTACTATATTGGATTAGACATAAATGATACCACTAGAATTTAATTAAATAACGATAGTTTAGTATTAATATTTCTTAATCCCATTAAGGGTTCATGACGGCGATATGATAATGATGTTATTAAAATTATCTAGTTTTTTCAAATTTACGGTATATTTCATTGAACATCGTCCTTGTCTACCAGTATGTCACGATTGCTTTCGATATCTCAGTCTTGATCAATCTCATTCGACTTTATTCCTTCCCTATGTTCTTAAGAATATAGTAAAACTATATAGTTTATTATTAATTTGGGATTAAACTGAAAAAAAGTCAAAAATATTGATTTATTGTCACTTTAAGTGCAATTAACTTGCTTTATCTGAATGTCTCAACTATATGTAAAAATTTAAATTTAATGGATACTCTATTAACTCGATACATTGTTGACATAACATATTTGATTTAATGATTAAATGTACTTTAATTTATATTATATCAAGCAGTCCTTCATTAAGCAAAACCATATCCTCATACAGTATTTTTATAATTAAAATTTAACGAGGATATTATTAATGCATAGAGTTTCTTTTATACTGATTTATAAATATTGCCAACATCGATGTTTTAATTAATTCTTTATTGCTATAGTATATAACTAATTATTATGTTATTTTACCTGTTAGGAAATAATATTATCTCAATCAATATTGACAACTGCCAAAAAAATAAATTACAATTAATTAACATTGACAAGGACTGGATTAATCAAGCCCAACTTATATTCTGCCAATTACTTCTAAACCATTTAAGCGCTCAACACTTAATTCAACATTTTCAATCAAGACAGACCCAAATTTAAACCGCTAAGCATGTCTAATGGTAAAACTAAACAAAATTGCTATCATATTAAGCGACCTATGAATGCATTCATTGTATGGTCCAAAGAACAACGACGTAAAATCGCCGAAGAAAATCCTAAAATGCATAATGCTGAAATTAGTAAAATATTAGGAGCAAAATGGAAGATGCTATCGGAAGGTGAAAAGCGACCGTTCATTAATGAAGCTAAGCGTTTACATGCTGTCCATATGAAAATTCATCCTGAATATAAGTATCGACCACGACGTCGAAAAAGTAAACAATTAATGAAAAAGGATCGATATCCATTTCCACCATCGACTCAAGCAGCAGCGGCCGCTGCAGCAGCAGCCGCTGGTGTCGGTGGCGGTGGTGGCGCTCCAGGTATGATTATCAGCCAACATGGACCACCCATGGATGGATCCAATCCTTTTCCTGGTATGCCAAATAGCGCGCAATCAGCATTCGTTCAAGTTCCACCAGCATATAACAACCCGCCGCAACTATCATCTAATCCAAACGCAACCAATATGCAAAGATCGGATTACTCACTGAAGGGAAGGCCTGGACCATCGGATTATCGAACCAGTGAAATGCAAGGAAGGCCTAATGATATCAACAATCCGAACACAACAGTATCCAACTACATGAATGGCCCACCAGTTCAAATGACTCCAAGTGGAATTTATCTATCATCATATAATCCAGCAGCAGCGGCCGCTGCTGCTGCTGGTAGTCATATGTTACCTACGGCTTTTCCCAATTATTGGTAGATGAAAAAGCAACCAAGCTCGTTGTTTACTGGAGGCGTCCTTGAAGTAAAGCATGTGGCGGCGAATGAATATCGATTAGGAAACCATTTACCGTTGACGATAAGTCGTCTATTGATTTGTAGAACAGAGTTTACATAGATAGTGATTGCTATGGTATACTTTCATTAGCTGTTACAGTTATTAGGTTAAAAAAATGATTAACTGTTATTAATAATGAAATTTTTCCCAATATATTCTTTTTAGACATATTTACTGTCTTTGATAATACTTATAAACCTTATGATGTCAAAATTTGTAATGAAATCATATCAACAGTAAATCAATCCACTTGAAAGACTGGATGAAGTATTAAAGACATTAAGTATTACTTTATCGTAAATTTCAAACTGTCTAAGAAATAAGTTGATCAATAGACCAGCTATAATATTGACACGATAAAGTGCAGTACATATTTATAAATGATTAACAATTCACTATATGACATTGCTTGCCCTCATAAATCCATAGATTTTGATAGTTTATGTTTATTCGTTCATTCTTTTAAATTAAGTAAAGATAGAATACAAGTATACTAGTGTTATTATCATTTGTCAAGATGATTTTCACTTATCATTAGATCCATTCTTTATAATAATTCTAGTATATCGTCTACTTGATTTTTCTAGATTACGAACAATTTATGTTATAGAATGGATAGTATTTTATGTTTCTTCTGTACAATATAGTAAAATTCGTATTAGATGTATAACTGATAATATAGACAAAATCATACCTAGTTACTCAGCTTTTAGAGTTAACTACGGAAATAGACAAGATGTGATGTTTTGTGCATATTGCCAATAAAATATACCAGGCATTGAACTACACAGACTAAAAGATCAATTCATTGAATACCTTCTCATACGATATTGAATATGTATGGCAAAAAAACATAATGAGTCTGTATTAGAAACCAAGTTATAGATGAAATTGTATCCATTGTTAACATAGCATTACAGCTTTATAGACCAAAAATAAGGTTTATAAGCTGTTGTATTGGTCACAAAACTATGTATCAATTTATCGTAAAATGTCCAAGTAATCTTCTAGTACCTCTTATAGTATTGTATCAGGTTACCAAGGTCTACGCACACATATATAAAATAAGAAAATGATCGAGTGAAATAATACCGGTAGCTATAAAATGGAATTAGTAACACTTTTAGATCTATTTTATTAGGATCTTTGAAAATATCGATTATAAGAACGCCACCCGATAAATACTGAGAAATTTATGTAACTATAATAAATAGTCGTTATTAGTACAGTTTTAACTAAATTGATGGTTACCGCTTAGTAAATTTAGATGTAAGTTATTATAGGGTGAGTAAATGTTCTTTGACTCACAGTAAGATATATCTTTGTTGTAGATAGTGTTAGATATTAAGTACGATATATGTTACATTAGCAATTAGATAGAACGTTAAGTATATGACTAGAATATTATCTATATAAGTACTTGTAATATGATAACTGTATTGTGATTCTGTAATACCGTACATGATTATATTTCAAAAAATCGGACTGATAATTTACGATAGATATACGTATGTTGTAAAGTAAATGATTGCTATAATAGTTAGTAATTAGTTTTACGGTATATGTTAAATGTCACAACGCAAAATGGCCAAGGCGTAAGCTGGAATGTCTATAAATACCCGGTATTTTTAATAATAAAGTCACTTACAAATCTTACGCGTGGATTAGAATTCATTGCGTAAAACATAACAATCTTAACGATAGACCTTGCCATATCAGATACAAAAATGTGTTTAGAACTTGATAATCTATGAGTATAATCATTGCGATTAGTTTTATAACGAAATACTTTACCAGCGTTTAGATCCTATCCTCTATCACATGCAATTCTACAAACATTGATGCAAAGATCGTATTTTGCCAGTGTTTTATAAGAAATTGTTACAGTGGTCGTTTACAAACTACATATTTGCCTTGATTTATCTACAAATCACAGTTATAAGGACGTGAAATTGCATGTGATAGTAAAGATTTAGTACTTTTACGTAAAACGTAGAAGATTAATGAAGCTGTATCTTATTACATAAGCGTTTACATATTCAAGCTAAAATACAACATGTTTTTTAACAGAAAAATTGTAGAATAATGCCATTATTAACTTAGCCTATTTGTCTCACTCACAATTGGATATCATATTTGAAAGAAATTTCCCGTGATACCTAACTGTCATTATGACAATATAACAGTATAAAAGTACATTTTTCATCTACTATCACGCCAATTCATTTTGGTTAAATAGTAGTATTTTTATTCCATAATAGTTATGTAAATGATAATTATCTCTCATAACTATTGACTAGGACATATTAATCGACTCAAATTAAAATTGCTGTCTGCAAGATCGTATAAATGTTTGGTATGGAACACGATTCGAAGTTTTCCAAAGATTCCTTATTGATTTAAACTTTGTAATCAATTGAAGTTAAAAGTAAAAGTCAAGATAGGATTAGGAGTTTCTTTGAAGATATCTATCAAATATATAACAATATTTCTCGTAACTCCTGATATATTTGATCAGGTTGAAATTGCAAATTCAGACAGAATAACGTTCTGCACAATGGACATTCTACCAATATGGTTAGTTGCCTATTACATTACAAGGTGTTAAATGCTATTATCAGCAGCAGCACTTGCAATCTTGACATAAATTAAAAGTTATTTTATTATTCTTAAATCTTTGATGGTTCGTTTCTACTTTTTCTATCGTTTTGTTTTTTAACTTTGAATATTATCAGTAGTTAAATTAAGAATTTTTTCAGCGAACTATTCATTAATGAATTTTAAAAATAACTAAACCTATAACTTTCAGTTGTATTTGATACGATCCATTCGCAGTTGTAAGATTTTTAATTACTTGAATAACCATGCAGCCATGATATATCGACTATTTTAAATTTTCGCCCTTTTGGTGAATGAAAATATCCTAAGGATACCTCTATAATTGTGAATAGTGAACTATCTTACTATTTGCAAAAAAATAATGTTGTCATTAACATTTACGCTACAAATATTGTCACAGAATAGTAGCAAATACAACAGAAAAACTACAGTGGGTTGATTAAGAATTTAAATAAAGAAATACCACCAATATACACTTATTATGGTACGGCACATAGAATTGATAATAGATGGATGATTAATACTACTGTCAAAATGTTTGTACATTTGTTATTGGCTGTATCAAATTCAATTTTAGTCTATTTGCTTGTTAATGCGTTCATTGAATAATTTGAATGTGCTATAGCAAATTTAACTATAATATACTTACAGCAAAGTCTAAGTGAAGAAAGCTTGACTCCTACTTAAAATATGGTACCGAAAACGGTGTTTATACTTTGGTACGTTAGTCAAAGGCAAAAAATTTTTCTCCCAGAATTACAACTTCAAAGAGATGTTACATGATTTAGACTGTAGACTGTTGTTACCTATCGATAGACATTATCTTTTCTTACGGTCAAACTGTGCTCTATTGACTACTATTTCTATACGCCAATACATACATGTTCAGTAGTCATTTACAATTGAAAGTGAGTACTGATATAAAAAATGATGGTCTTATATTCCTTTATACCTAGATGATACTTTAAAAGTGAAACTACAACATTACTTCTTTTGCTGCATGAGGCTAAATTGTGAGGAATGCCGTTTGTTCAGATTTTGCAGGTGAATGTTGTTGCTAATTTTATCTTACTTCTTGGGTAATTTTAACTTTGCTCTATGTTACTCTTTGATTTGGAAATCTTTAATATTTTATAATTTTCCTTCGTGGGATAGTCTAATATCAAACCGTTCCGTTTTCTAGCATTAAAAATCGTCATTTATAATCACGACAGCTTCTATGCACTGTATTTCCTTCCGAAGAAGTAACAATTTTTATGCATCAGCTTTCAAAAAGTAAATATAAAGGATAGTAACAAGAACATATAGATTACTGATAAACTAATCGTTCCTGTTAGCTTGGCATCATGGATATCATGATTATCTTCGAAGCGTGATTATCTACTTCTATTAATAAATTTGTCCGTAGGCATCAATATTTCGAGTTTTCGATGGAAGTAAAACAACTGTGTTCGTACAAGGTTAAGTCTTAAGCTTTTTCTTTCGTAGGTTCAGGTTTTTGAATCGACGTCTTGATGTCTAAGAAGTTAAATTTAGGTAGAATTTCTTTATATTATAAATGCAAAAGTGATAAAAATTCCACTATTTCCATGCTATCTAACTCTTCCTATAAGCTTGGTGATATGTATGAAATTATTTATTTTGGATATGACTGGTAGGATCTTAAATCAGGTTATGATAATAAATGTATAGTCATTTCTTCATCCGATTAACGAATAAGGAATTGGAAACAAGCAACATCATTCAAATATAATCACCATTGCCACGATGTACGATACACATTAAAAGCTGCTAACCGAAAAAAATCTTGAATAATCCTTTATTAAAATTTCTTAGAAATTCAGTAATCAATGATAGGTAATTTCTCAATACTAACTCAATATCCCATCGTTTAATTGCTGGCGGTACCATTATATATTTTAAGCTGTACAAATTAATGCGCATTACTGGGAGTGACGAAGAATTTTATCAAGGTTTAAAAATGTTCATACAAAGTTATCCTTCCACAGTGGCGTACAAACTCCAAAATTACGGACCCGGTATTTAAGTATTCGAATGATAAGGCAGATATAAATAAATTAAAATAATCTAGCAGTAAAATTTACTCACAATTCTAAATTCGATTTGAAACTTATTAGCTCGATTTTAAGAATATAGTTATGAATATTTAGGCCGAAATTTAACTTGTATTTGTATTTTCTATGTAACAAAGGTTTAACGACTTGAATTAAGACTATGCAATTGTGTTTGAAATATTTCAATAGCAAACAAATTTCTTTTTGAGATAATGAGTATTCGTCTCACCAAATCAGCCAATATTGATCAAAACACAGTTCAGCGATGAATACATTATCTCGCAGTATAATTGCATATATGAGCCATATCTAAACTTGGGTTTCATATATAACAGTAACAGTTTTGTTATTACTAACTGATACATCATTCTGTAAATGACGCTTTTTACAAACTGCGATAAATGAATTAGAAATTCTAAGAGCTCTCTCTTCAGGTATGAGTAATATTAAAAAGCCACAACAAATGCATAGAGCTCCAATCACTTTAATATAATCAAAATAAATTTGACGAAATATTAAATCTACAATAGCATTACCAGGGATACCTAATAACACACCAAGAGAAATAAATATTGGATAAGTTATTCCTATTCCGAATATCAATAAGCTGTTGAACAGCACTCCCAATCCAGCAATAGAGTTTAAATTATCCCACGGCAAATCAGGCCACTTTATAACCTCGAAGTTAGTAACATGAAAGACTAGCACAACTGGCCACACCGTCAGTGTTATGCAAATACTCATAGCAGACGTATAAAGGGCACTTTTACCAATACTAGCGTTAGCGAGGACAACCTTCAAAGATACCTACAATCATGATACGAACAATTTTAAAGTAAATCCTAACTTGGCATTAAGCTAGCTAATATTTTATAGTAAAAATCGTTAATTCATTGCTGTTTAAACGACTTGAATCAGTCATTTGACTGTAGGCGCCGCAATTAATGCTAGTCACGACTATAAGAAAGCAATAAAAAATTTATTCATCGCAATACGTAGTGGACTATAAGGTAAAAAACTCCCCTACAGAATGTTTCACGAAATAATGGTTCTATTTAACAAATTAAAAAAATGTACGAGCTCGTATTCTTATGTTCAGTATTTGTTTATCTACAATTTTTTCTCTCACAACGTTTATTATTATCATAGATTTTCATAGTACTGTAATTGCTAAGGCTACTCATAAATACGTATCTAACAACGGTATCCAATCAGTCAGTAGAATGGAAAGCTATTTATTTCATGATGCAAGTACTTACCCTATAAATGGAAGATAAAACAGCTAGGCAGAAAGCTAATATTATTCCGAGGGCAGTGGCTCCTTCGAATCCATTCGAGTATGCAAACAAAACTACTCCTGTAACGGATAGTAAAACTGCGAATATCTATTAATCAAAAAGATATACAGCAGGGTTTAGCAGAATTACGACATAAACTAAGACTATTAAGTTGTGATTATATTCATAATAATTAATCAGTAACAGATTCCATAATTAGTTACTTTAGCAGAGTTGTTTAATTTACTTTTAAATTACCCGTATTAAAATAGTCGGTTCTTTCAACCAAAAAATTGATAATACGTAGATAAGAGCAATATTTGATGATAATATTGCTGTGAAATCGCCAGCAGGAATCAGCGTTAAAGAGTAATAGTAGCAATACGAGCCTAATGACATTAAAATCGCGACAGGTAGCACTTTAATCAAGATACCCTTGGTATACGATCCTTTGTACTTTAATGCAATGGAGCATTCACTGTCCAACATAAGATATTGTTAAATAGTTAATCCAATAGAAATTAAACAAAGCTGATTCTTAGAATATTGATGACGACTACATCAAGGTATTTTACTACTGTGACAGTACTCTCTTTTACTAATTACTGATACTGCACAGGACTGCCACATAAAGAATGGCAAAATCTTCTACCTCCACATTTCGTTGAGTGATTTACCAAGGATCAATCCGAATAAACAGTATATAGGATAGCATATTATGGTCCATGATCTAGCATACCTGAATCAATGATGGATAAACATTATGAACAAATTCAATTGTGATCCATATCGATTGTCATTTACTATACGTACCATGTAAGATAGCAAAATGCGGTGAAATTGTAATTCGCAATATTATTCGAAAATTGAGCTTGCAAAACCCATGATATGACCAGCATTACCACGATCATCAGTCCGGACAATGATTTTAAGGTGCATGCATCGCGAAGGTGAAACTTATGATGGCTTGCAATTTCTGGTATTATAAAGATAAAGATAGCGGCGTTAAAGTTGGTAAAAATAACGTATTCAAATTGTTCACTGCAAGGACTACGCCACTCCATTCTTCAGCAGTTAACATGACAACAAGTATCCAATACTGTAGTGTAGTATATTTGTTTACAATATCACTATTTGCATGGTAATGGTATACGCATAGCAATATACACTTAACTGCTTCTATACTAAGTGATAGCATTAAGCTGAGACTCTAGAAAAATGTAAGCCATTTCTTAACTTTCAATCCGTACAAGTATGCTTTACGTTTTAGCTAATATGTTAACTGTCATAAATAAAATTTGTAACTATACAGTATTGCTACATGTTATTATGTTATACTGAGGCGATTTCAGATAGTTACCACGGATGTTTCAAGTAGGGTAACGGTAACGCAGTGATCGTATGCAGCATGAAGCTATGTATATTTAACCAACTGCCTGTGTTGGTGCATATCTTATTTGGATTCAATGTACAGCAAACTAAAGTGTTCTTTTGACAACAGTAGATATTCATTTATGATGTTAACTGGACGTGATTCGTCAACATCAAGCATGAATCTACAGGAATTGTGGTTAGAATTAATCGGTGAATAGGGCCAAGTAAAGTTGGAGCTATTGAAGCCAAGTCGAGTACAAAACCTCATTTATGCAAGTATTCAAATGTTATAAGAAACAAAACACATTCTGAATACTGATAATATTATTTTTAAACGATGCGACCTACCATCAACAGCACAGGCAGTAACTTCTTTATCGGTGGAATCAGTTTCTACAGTCATCTTCTTCAAATACAGTTACCGTTGCATATACACTTGCGCTAAAATATAACCTATATCAATGGAAGCGCGACAGTATTCAGGTCAGGCTTGAATTAATCTCCTGTCTACAGCATGGATGAATGATTTGCAAACGCTGGCTTCTACGATGCTGAATGAACTAATGAAGGCAACGGATGTACTGGGATCTCCTAGCAGAGGTCTAGCCTTTAAAAATGGACAGTAAATTGTACAGTACAGTACAGTACAGCGTACAGTCTAAATCTGATTACAGTACCTCCATACAGTACTGTGAGTGCTGTAGAAGATGATGGATCGAGTGACCCGATTGGCTACTCCTATTAATGAATCGATTAATAAATACCTCAATATTCCCTAATAAGGGAATATAAAATATTACAATATAACGTAAATCACTCACTACTAGATTTTACTTTTACTGTTGAACTGTACTGTACAGTATAGTACTGTAGTGTATGCATCAGTACTGCTTTGCATTATACTGTACATGATTGCATCTAATTGCATCATGTCTACCTATTTCTACATTGTACAATGTACAGTACACTAAAGTGATACAACAGTAAAATATCTGCGTTGACTCTCGATTCTCATCAGCACAGTAACTTTATGTTTTGAATTGACAATATCTACTCGTCTTTTCTGATAACTAGAAAGGCATCATTTTTTATGTAACTACCACTACTGTACAGTATACTAGAGACCCTCTATTATGGTTTCTACTGTACAGTACACTAGAGACCCTCTTAGGGTTTCTACTTTCTACTGTACAGTACAGTACTGTACGCATTAGAGACTTACAGTGTACAGTACAGTACTGTACGCATTAGAGACTTACTGTACAGTACTGTACTGATGAGATAAAGTCATGACCCCGTGACC